TTTTATTTACTATGTAAAAATCCAATATACCATGCAGATCATATGAAAAATGATCTACGTACACCCTACCCTTAAATTATGGATATAGTTATTTTTATACACATTAGTTTTTTAATTCATTATATCGATTAACTAATAGAATTTTTACTATTTCACGAGATGATCACAACAATTGACCAATCACAATGAAAACCCGTTATCCTTCTTTGTTATCAACCCCCGCATATATCAACCAAATCACCCAATTCAACCAGGTTGATATTAACGGGGGTAACCTGTATATATCGATATAGAGTATTGGTTGAACTGTTAATAAGTGGATAAAAGTGTTACGTATAAATGCTCCACGTATATAATAATAAATTATACGAACGTACAGTATCCTTCAAAAGTTTATCACTGTTACACGAAAAAACTTAATTTATGCGAATGTATAATATATGCAAATTGTGAAAATATCTGGAAGATAATGTTCAGCAACGAAGATCACAACCAAGAACATACGGAGCGTTGAAACAGCACTTTTAGAGGAATGGAATATGCTTGATCATACTTGATCATCAATTTTCGTGATCGTATTGCCGAAGTTATTGCACATTAGTAATTTGCGTAATAATAATATATTGCAAAATTTGTATATTTACAAATTTATATGTTGTTTTTTATGTAACCGTGATAAACTTTTGGAGGATACTGTGCGTATAAGTTTTTTATACAGCCAGATCTCCCTAATGCAGCCCCAAATGCAATACCTCTTTAAATGCAACCTTTAACTCTGGTCCAAATATATGCTAAACTTCCATAAATGCAATTTTTTTATTGCTCTCTAAATGCAAGCTCGCAACTTTGGGATGCATTTAGGGAGGTTTGACCGTATTGTACGGGATAACATAAAGTATCTATTGCGCCAAATTTGATACGTACGTACGTACATATTAAAAAGACGCCAACTTTAAGATCCAATTTTATACGTATAACAGATAAAGTGCCAAATTTAAATAATTTTGATTGGTATTACATAATTAAATAATAATTAATTTTGATTGGTTAATTTATGTTTTCAGAGATTAGTGTGTCAAAATTTTAAAGTAGAATAAGAAAATATTCTTAAAATATTACCAGTGATGGCAAATGACCAGATTCTTTGTTAGTTTTTTAATCATTAGTAATTAAGAACCAAAAGACCATCTATCGACTATCACGTGACACATGTTACCCAATAATAATACACCATATTTCTTAAAATTTTGATATTTAGATCAGTAGATATTTGCGCGATGTTATCACGCAAAACCAGAAACAGAATTTTAATTACTAAAGATTTGCTTAAATGCAGAAAAAAATAATTTCCATTTTTTTTAATTTTTATGATGAGGCAATAATTTCCTTTTTAAAATTTAAATATAAATTTTTTATGTATTATTATTATGAATTTAAATTTGATCCCGTTTTTGCGATTTGCTATTTTCATAATACATATTTTTATCTATATATATATATAGTTTTAGATCTTACAAAAGTAATTTAAAAGGTTTATTTTTATTAAAATACAAATTTATTAATGAAAATTTTAAAACAAACATTTTATTCAATAATTGAGAAAAATTTTGGTAAATTCTAAATAGAATATTCAAGTAAATTTATTAATTAATAGCTTTTATACTCACTATTAAACTGAAATTAAGTAAGCATTGGTGACGGCAAATATTAATAAGTTATGAAATCGCAAATTTTGGTAAACCTTGAAGTTTCTAAGGTACGTACCATTTGCATATTTTGATTAAGTGAACATAATTAAAAATTTTTTAGTAGTTTTTAACCAATTAATTGATTTTTTCAACTTTCGATTTGTAACACTAACATACAGTAATGAATAATAAATGCAAGTACATATCATAAGAAATGTTCATATGCTTAAAGTCGAGGGATGGAGGAACATTAGTGAAACACATAATGCTTGAAATTGTTACTGAAAAGAATCAACTATGCTAAATAACTTATTCAAATCATAAACCTACCTACTGATAATATCATAAATTTGCCCAACTCATTAAACTACCTATTGTTAAAATTACTCCCTACTACAATTGTGAACTACGTAGCCCAAATAACAATATAAATTTATTTAGCCCAGACATTAGGGTTAGGTCTAGTCAATTTTCATTTGAGGCAATCCCAATTAACCATCGGGTCATAATAATTTGGTCATAATTGCATATCGATAACCCAATTTATCAAATCACCTGAATATCGTAACTTGTAAAGACCGATCAATGTTAACGTTAAAATATACTTAAATTCTCAGTCACAATAATTGCCATAATTGCATAGTTATAGCCTAACCGCTAATAATTCAGTAATTATGTCATAATTTGCATAGCGATAACCCAATTTATCTGAATATCGTATCTCGTAATGACCAATCAAAAAATGTTAAAATACACAGCCTCTCGCTTAAATTATATAGATAGTAACTTCAGGTTATACTTTGGGTTATACTTTAAAGTATACTGTAAGCATATACTCCAATGTGATGTGGTGTTAAAGGATACTTTACCAAAGTATGCACCAAAATTTTATTACATACAAAAAATCTTTAGTGATTTTCACTATGTATATCACCTGCATTATGTAAATTGACCGATATGATACATCCCATTATTATACATACTCTAAATGCATTACTCTGTTACTTGAATGTGTGCCAGGTTTATGTCGCAGCACAAAATCTAAAGTTCGTTCATGTTAGTGTTAGGGTTAGTGTTATAGGCTAGAGAAGGGTAGTTAATATAGAAAAATTGCCCAACGAACACCTTTTGTTAGAGCACCAAAAGTGAGTGGTTTCTTATGTAGAATTTTGAGAAGTAAGCGAAACGGACTTTTGTTTTGAATTTTTTTGATCATGTTACGTTGCCAATCAGATTTGATAAAGATCATCTGATATGATAGCCAATGAAGAACATAAAAATCACGATAAATTTGCCGTGATTACTCAAAACACGTTTATCATAAAAAACATAGAAGGTAGAAATAATTTCTTTCATACTATAAGCTTCTTGTTCAGATTTTCACCTTTCTCTTTCGGAAGTTCTATTTCACTTCAGAAGCTCCATATACTCCTTCGGAAAGTCCATTCCTGAAAGCCCATTTTTGTTGTAGCAACCCGGAGTTTATAGTTCTAATGACAGGAAAACTTTCCAATATGAATATTGAAGATCTGGAAACATGACTTAAATCAGAATCCCAATATCCGTTTGTCCATATCAAAAAAAAATTGATAAGTAAATATTAAATAATAGGTTTTGTATAAGAGTGTCGCTAAAGAAAACCTGACAATTTAAATACGACTTATATTTAAATTTTGGGGTTTTCTTTAGTGACACTCATATACAGTATATAATTATATAAATTTTTAATGTGATTTTTTTTTTTTTTTAGTCACACGCACGTACATTTAAAAATCATACAGATGCTAGTAGATTTTATTATGGAATGAAGGATAGAAAAAATTATAAACATAATATTAAATTTTTGGCAGGTGAATATTATAAGTTTTCACCTAGAAGTGGTGAAAAAATAAGGTGATTATATTATTATTTGAGTATCAGCAAAAGTAAACCTCGAATCACAATTATGATTATTATTCTGAATAATAAACTATGATTGCTGTTTTGAGTTTCTTTTGCCGGCACTTATTAATAACAAAAATATCGATATATGTATACTAAAAATACTATACACATTTTATAGTATATTAATTCAGATCCTAAACCAATCAACCCTGAGCCCAAACTTGAGCCAAACTTGAACCGCAAAATTGAGCCCAAAATTGAGCCCAACTCTGAACCCAACCCTGAGTCTAACTCTAGGCCCGAATGTAAATTTTTATTTTTATTTGAAAAAGTTATACGATTGGAAGAAAGAAACAGACAATTAGAAAAACGAGTTAGTGATTTAGAAGAAAAATCTGATCAAAAAAAAGAAAAATTTATAGTGGATCATGTTTTTCTTATAGTGTAACCGTTGTTGGGAGAGCTTATATAATTATTGTGGAATAAAGGCCAATTTAACCCCAACGGTGTACGGGGAGATAAAGGTA